TGAGCTTCAAGAGGTGGTCACCTGAAATGGTTTTCCAACAGTCTTGAAGGAGTTCCCAGAGGTGTTTAGCACTTGTTGGCCCCTTTGTAAATGGTCATGGTCATGAAAATGAAAAATACACATTGAATGAGAAGGTGTGTCCAATCTTTTGGCCTCTACCGTATAGATATGATTTTTAATTTTCTTTATTAAAAATTTCGTTGTTTCACCTGTTCAATATTCATCAATTCATCTGACAAATAATATTATTTAATTAATATCTAAAATTGCCACAATAAATGAGAGAAATAGTTGTTCTGATGGGGTTTTGGAATGAAATGTTCACTAAATTTGAATTTACAATTAGAGGCTAACTTTTCTTTATGGTAAATAGCCTGTATTTGTTTATAGCAACCTTCTTAGGGTTCTACAACCCCCCAAGGCACTTCACAAAACAGTCAGTCATCCACCCATTCACATGCTGGTGGTGATGAGCTACAATGTAGCCACAGCTGCTCTGGGGCATGCTGACAGTGGCAAGACCTGCCAAGCACTGGCGCAGCCGGTCCCTCCGGCCACCACCAGCAAGCAAGATGAGTTAAGTGTCTTGCCCAAGGACACAACAGCAGCATTCTATGGCAAGAGCCAGGATTGAACCAACAACCCTTCGATTGCTGAGCAACCCCTTAGGTGTGTTCTTGCTGTGCGTTATTTCTAATTCCATGTTGTCGTTCTTTTATAAAACACAGAAACGGTTTTGTTACCTGTTATTGATGCTACAGTTTCGCCGACGGCTGCCTGAAGAAGCCAGCAGCCGTCGGCGAAACTGTAGCGTCAATAACAGGTAACAAAACCGTTTCTGTGTTTTATAAAAGAACGACAACATGGAATGCTGAGCAACCCGCTCTGCCTTTGAGCTACTGCTGCCCCCCGGTAAACACAAACACATGAAGTTGTTGTAGGTACAGTTTCAGCTCATGTTAAGTCTGCCCGGTTTGTGGTTAATTTTTGGTTCCTCATTATTTTCAAAGATTTGTACTGATTTTACATCAATACGGGCTTTTATTTTCTGTGCTACCTTCGTCATTCAGCAGGATCCTAACCAGTCACTAATCAAACACTAATATATATATATATATATATATATATATATATATATATATATAGGGCGGCGGTGGCAAAGGAGTTAAGTGCTTGCGCTGTAATCGAAAGCCATGCTGTAGTTCTTTTTTAAAACACAGAATAGTTTTTTTTACCTGTTCTCCCGCTACGTTTCGTTTGCGGTTGCAAACTTCCTCAGGCTGACGCTGTGACGGATGCGCGTCAGCCTGAGGAAGTTTGCAGCCGCAAACGAAACGTAGCGGAAGAACAGGTAAAAAAACAAAACTGTTCTGTGTTTTAAAAAAGAACTACAGCATGGAATTAGAAATACGACACAGCAAGAACACACCTAAGATGTAATCGAAAGGTTGCAGGTCAGCCCCGCTCAGTCTGTCATTGTTGTTGTGTCCTTGGGCAAGACACTTAACCCACCTTGCCTGCTGGTGGTGGTCAGAGGTACCAGTGGCTTCTGTGTATGGCAGACTTGCCTCTGTCAGTGTGCCCCAGGGCAGCTGTGGCTACAGTGTAGCTCATCACCACCAGGGTGTGAATGACTGATTGTGTTGTAAAGTGCCTTGAGGGGTTCCAGGACTCTAGAAGGTGCTATATCAAATACAGGTCATTTAAAATAAAAGAGCAGAAACAAAAGCGATAACACACAGGCTTTGAGTTTAAAACTGTAAATGACTGCCTCAACTTTCACTTTACATCTGTATTCTACATTTCAGTCTAAGCTAAACATCAGTCAGCAAAAGCTAACGCAAACTTAACAACCTTAAAAGCTGCTGAGAGTTCCTGGTTTTCTAATATAATCAGGCTGCCTGGACGTCTTCTGTTAGGGGGCCATTTGAAGTGACCTGAATCTGTGAGTACAGTTACCATCGGTCCAGCCCGCTCTGTGATTCAATTACAAGACTTGGCTCGTGTCCTACTTAACATCCAGGCAACAGATGCTCTGATTACAGAAGCCACAAATTGTCAAATACCCAATCTGAGTAAATATTGATGTGAGAGGGGTTGTAATTATCCCTCTGTGATGTTAGTTTCATGGGACAGACGAGGTGCAGGGCACAAGTTCAGCAACAGGCGTAAGTTCATACAAATTCAAACAGGACCTCCTCCTGCAATCAGACTTGTTCTGCGTGAACTCAGGTGACCTGATCTTGACCTCATCCACATGCAAAGAAAAAACTCATTACAGAGCTGATTCAAGTAATCATCAGCATATTTCTGTCTATACCCTATGTGTTCAAACAGAGAACTAGAGTGGAACGCCAGAATGTTGAGGTAGTGGGACTGTTTTAAAGGAACAGAATCACTTTTATTACCGTTAGCATGACAGAAAAACAACCACAAAGTGAGCTTTACAGAAAGAAAGAAAGAAAGAAAGAAAGAAAGAAAGAAAGAAAGAAAGAAAGAGTGTATATCTTTTTCAAATAGTCCATTTTATTTAGTAATTAAACTTAAATTGAGAGACAATCAGGAACCTGTTGCAAGTGTTCTGGATTCATCAGCTGATTAGAGTGTGACACTTTCAGATTATTGAACATTTTCTCAATATTCTAATAGTGTGATATTTTCATGAGGTTTTCATCAGCTGTAATCCATAGTCATCCCAATTATAACAAATAAAGGCTGAGGTGTCTGGCTTTGCATCTATCATGTCTTTCTCAAGTATTAGTTTCACATTTAAGTTCAATTACTGAACTACATGACCTTTGAACCTTATTCTAAATTTCCAACACTCTCCAGTCAGCCTGACATGCATGTTTTTGGCTGATGAGAGGACTCTAGAGCACCAGTAGAAAACGTATGCATGCATGAGGAAAACATGCTAACTTCACACTGAAATATTGCATCATTTTAAACCTGCAACCTCCCAGCTGTGAGGCAACAGAGCAACCAGCTGCGCCACCATGCAGCCCTGTTGTAAAGTCAAGAGAATGACTACAAAACCATGCTTGCAGATAAAATACCTAACAAAAGATGCTACTGATCATTTTGATCAATGAAATGGGACCCTGTTGTGTCACAGATTGCTTGTCACAAATATTGCGTTAATAAAATGTGGTATTTAAGTTTATTAAAATTACATACATTTGTTTTCACTGCCTGCTCACATAAAAAGTCATTTAATTAGTTCATTTGTGGCATCTAATTATGATTTCAGATATTTGAGATATTGATTTCAGAGATGATGCCTCAAAACTGAAAAGAAAATATATATTTTTTTAAATAATCAAGTGTTTCTTGAAGAAGTAGTAGAGTTTTCAGTTTGTCATTACCTCAAACCTTTTTGTTTGGTATTTTTACTTGATGCCCTCAGTTTCTTTTCTCCGTCATTTTTCTTTTCTCCATCACCAACGTCTGCTGTTTGCTCCTCTCACATCATCATCTCCAACATCCTTCTTTCCTCCCACACAAACCACCAACGGTTTACTCATTAATTTGAAATGAAAACAACAGGGTTTTGCATAGAATAAAATAACATTTTCCCTTGTCTGTATCATGAAAGGAAAATGTGCACTAAATATTTGCCCAGTTACTTTTGAATGTTTTTGTATGGAAACCACTGTGTTGGTCCTAAAACTTGTTCAGTAATATTTAATAATTTATTAATAACTGTTCTACTCAAACATCCTTCCTCTTATTACAGTTTTTCTCAATTGCTAAATCACAATTCCTGAAACCTTGCTCCCTTTTCTCAAAACATTAAACACAAAACCTCAGCTTCAAGCGCGATTTACAAAACCTCTCATTCCTCTTGTCAAATCAAACTTTCACCTCAAAACAGTTTTAGCGGTGATCAAAATCAAACACTACTCTCAAATCATAAACAAATTACTCAAAATTACACACACCATCAAGCAGTCAGTAAACAATACACCAAAAAGTAGAAAGCACAATGTTCAGGGCCATACAATTTGTTTATTGTACCAAATACAGCCTGCAGTCCATTGTGCTACAGTGTTCAATGACAGTGAAAAAAAATACATAATGAAAAACATCAAAGGACTAAACATGTTATCAATGGGCCTCTTCTTGTCTGTGGCCTGCGTCAGGCCACAGCACCTCATCGACATCACATGCAATAGTTTCCCTCCTGAGGCTCAAATTGGGTTCCACTCCAAGTCCTGCTTCCCTCGTTGTCAGCCCATGGACAACAACATGGTCTATGACTGTTGCTCAGATTTCATTGGATATTTCCACTCTTTGTCTTGCTCTTCCTCATCATCCTCCTCTTTCTCTTTCTTGCCCTCCTCCTCATCCCCCACCTTGCATATATGCACTCGTCCTCGTCCTCTCACATTAATTCTTCTATCCATTGTCACACTTTCTCATTCCCACCTTCAACAACCAGTTTGCTCTCTGAACTTGCTGATATTGGTTGTCACATCATTTGAAACAAGTGAAATCTATTTTGACTGATTGTGTTCAATCAATGACATCTGTGCTCTTGTTATGGGTAAATGTGTGCCTCTTGTGTTTACCTTTATGGATGACATGATGTACATTAGAGTGCAGAATGTGTTTTAAGAATGAGAATGCGTGTAGAGTTTTGCTAAACCGTGTCAAATGGTTTAAGGTTTTGACAACAGGCTCAACAGTTAGCTTAATGAGTTCAAGCAACTGAGAAGTTTCTTCAGTGAATGGATGTCATAGCATAGGAAAAACTGTAAAGCATTTGTGAAGTACCATAAAAGGTCCACTAGATGGCAGCATCAGCCCATATTTGGACTTAGGAAGACACCTGAGTGATTATTTGGCAGAAATATCTCAGGTCACTTTGGACTAATCTGCTCACTTGTTTTCTGCTTTGAGGAGGGAAAATTCTGAATTATATGTTCAAATATTGATTAACAGCAACGATTAGAAAAAATAGTTTGTCTGTCAAAATTTTATTTTAATACTATTGTATCTTTTTATATGGGGAGCAGAATTGTCTCTGCAGCTGAGGCTTAACAATGCTATTTTCTTTGTAGCGTTTTTAAATATATGACACTTTGTGGTATCTTGGTTGGAAAATTGCTAGTGCTATCACAAACTTACTCTTCAAATTGAAACTTTTAACGTGTGTGGATATATTAATGTTTTATAAAAATGATTGTTTTTGATTTAATTTAAATAGTAATTTAATTTCTACTCTCTAGTTAACGTAATAGTAATTCTTTGATGATTTGTTGGTTTATAAAGGTTCAGCAGGTGTTCTGCTTGTTTCACTTTCATTCTTTTTATCTTTAGAGTAAATAAACCCACTTTAACCCCCGCCGTATTCATGTCATAATGAACTCGGGGACATTTTTGCCTGTTTGTATCTGGTTGGCGTCTCGTGCCCGGGCCGTGGTTGGGGCTGCGGGGGCGGACGCGAGCGCAGCCATCCAATGGGATCAGCGATGGGAGGGAGTTTGTCCAACTCCAGCTTTGCCCCAACTTACTGGGACTCCTGAACACAATATGACTGAAGAATCTGCACCGTTATTCCACGGGACGGTGCGTGCGCTCAGCCGCCTGCAAACGCGCCCTGGAACTTTGGGTCTTCGCGCATCTCCTGGGAAGTGTGGGAATTATCTTTTGCTCTTTTCCTTTTTTATTCACACTCCGGCATGAAAACATTTTAAGAAGCTGAAATGAAACTTTCCTCTTGAGCTGCAGGGATAATTGTCTCCATTCAGAGGATTTAGTTGCTGCGCTGGATAAAATTACACTTGTGGAGTATTTGGGGACGTTTGAGTGGAAAGAAGCGCTGCGGTCTTTTATTTTTAACTGACCTTTTTTTTGCCCTGCATACTTTGTGGAATACAATGATTTAGGGACTCGTAAAGTTGATGAATCAAAGGCATGGACTTTGACTGAGAAAGGTGGGCAGGTTAACGGACCATGGCACTCGCAGGTAGCGGCTCTGGCCGGTTTCACTTCATTCTACTTTTATTGTGGACTCTGTCGCGGTACTCAGCATCCAGCCAGGTTCGACAAGAGTTTCAGGTCCTGGAGGAGCAGCCCATCGGCACCTACGTGGGCACAATAGAAACCAAGTCCAGCTTCACGTACCGCTTCAGTGAAAACCACAAACTTTTTGCAATTAACGGCACCACTGGGGTGATTTACACCTCGTCGGTGATTGACAGAGAAGTTTTGCAAAGTGACGTGATTAATGTTGTGGTGCTGTCCAGCCAGCCCACTTACCCCACTGAAGTTCGGATAGTGGTTCTGGATATTAATGACAACTCTCCGGTGTTTCCAGACGCCTCCATAGTGGTGTCCTTTAAAGAGGACGCCAGCAGCGGGAGACAGGTGATCCTGGACACAGCCACAGACTCAGACATAGGGAGCAACGGGGTCGATCACACCACCTACAAGATAGTGAAAGGCAACGAGCAGAGGAAATTCCGCCTGGATATCACAGTCAATCCTAGCGGAGAGGGGGCATTCTTGCACCTTGTTTCAACCGGAGGCTTAGACAGAGAAGTTACTCCCTTCTACCAGCTTCTGGTTGAAGTGGAGGACAAAGGAGAGCCAAAAAAGTTTGGTTACCTGCAAGTAAATGTCACCATCCAAGACATCAATGACAAACCTCCTGTTTTTGAACAAGATCAGTATCAGGTCAGCGTGTTTGAGGATGCTGCTGTAGGTTCAAGTATCCTGCAGATCACAGCATCAGATGAGGATGAGGGAGCCAATGCAGAAATCAAATACTTTTTAGATGAAGGCACCCCCTTCCTGATTGACCCCAGAGTGGGAACCATTGTTATAAAAGAGGGTTTGGATTATGAGAGTAAGAGGGAGTACTCGCTGACCATACACGCTGTAGATAATGGTGTTCCCTCGCTGTCAGGCAGAACTGAAGCGACAATCAAACTTTTAGATGTGAATGATAACGACCCTGTTGTGAAGTTCAGATATTTCCCCACCACTTCTAAATTTGCCTCTGTTGATGAAAATGCCCAGATTGGTTCAGTTGTAGCTTTGCTCACCGTTTCAGATGCAGACTCCTCCACTGCTAATGGAAACATATCTGTTTCAATCTTAGGGGGCAACGAGCAGAGACACTTTGAAGTGCACACGTCTGCTGTGCCTAATTTAAGTCTGATCAAAGTGGCCAGCGTGTTAGACAGAGAGAGAATTTCCTCGTACAACCTCACAGTGTCTGTGTCTGACAACGGCAAACCCATGTCCAGGTCATCTTTTGCCAGTCTGGTTATTTTTGTGAATGATATCAACGACCACCCCCCTATATTTCAGGAAACGCTGTACAGAGTAGATATCAGTGAAGACATACCAAAAGGCAGCTACATTAAAGGGGTTTCAGCAACAGATGGTGATTCTGGGCAGAATGCCAACCTGCGCTACTCACTGGTGTCTGGAAACACTTTGGGCTGGTTCTCCATCAGTGAAAACAGTGGTCTGGTTACCAGCGCCGCATTGCTGGATAGGGAAATAGCACCTGAGATTGTTCTTAACATTAGTGCCAAAGACCAGGGGCTGCAGCCCAAGATTTCGTACACCAAACTGATAGTAAACATCACAGACGTGAATGACCAAGTGCCTACATTTACACAGAGCACATATCACGTTTCCCTAGTGGAACACGCTCCTGCTGGCACTGAGCTGGTGCAGCTTTCTGCTTCAGACGATGACCTCGGGGCCAATGGAACTATCCGGTTCTCATTTATTGCAGACACTCCGGCCAACGTCCAGGAGCTGTTTCGTCTGGATGCCATGTCAGGTCAATTAAGCACGGCTGTGGAGCTTGACAGGGAGGACCAGGCCTGGTACTTGCTCCACATCCAGGTGGCAGATGCAGGCAGTCCTCCTTTGCACTCAGTAGGAAAAGTTAACATCACCATTTGGGACATTAATGACAATAGGCCAGTTTTCTACCCAGTGCAGTATTTTGCCAACGTGAAGGAGAACGAGCCCTCGGGTACTTATGTAACCACTGTTTCAGCCACAGACCCCGATTTAGGGCGAAATGGCACAGTGAAATATATAATTACTGCTGGAGACACTTCAAAATTCCGCATTAACAGCAACACAGGGGAAATTACCACGCTTGTGCCCCTGGATAGAGAGGAGAAAACTGCTTACCAGCTGCAGGTGACGGCAGCAGATGGAGGAGGCCTGCGCTCAAACACCCAGGCCATTGTGACTGTAACTGTTATAGACACACAGGATAACCCCCCAGTTTTCACTCAGAAAGTATACAGCTTTGTCATGTTTGAAAATGTTGCTCTTGAGACAGTTATAGGGATAGTGTCAGCCAGCACTGTTGATCTGAACACCAATATTTCATATCTGATCACCTCTGGGGATCAGAGAGGAGTTTTTTCTGTGAACAGTGCAGGTCAGATCACAGCTACCAGTCAGATTGACAGAGAAGAGCAAGGATTTTATCAGCTGAAGGTTGTAGCCAGAGCTGGGGAAATCCCAGGGGAGGCCATTGTTAATGTAACCGTGAAGGACTTAAATGACAACGCTCCTCATTTTATTCACTCTGTGGAGCATGTGAGTGCTGTAGAAAACTGGAGCACAGGTCATGTCATATTCCAGGCCAAAGCGCCCGATCCTGACGAAGGTCCAAACGGCGTCGTGGTCTATAGCCTCAAAGAAAATCCCAAGGGCTTGTTCCACATCCATGAGAAGCACGGCCTGATCACGCTAACTGGGCCACTGGAGGTCACAACAAGTTCCTACGAGATTGAAGTCATTGCTTCTGACATGGGGGTTCCCCAGCTCACATCCAGCCTCATCCTCATTGTCAGTGTTTATGATGTCAACGACAACTCACCTGTGTTCGACCAGCTCTCGTACGAAGTCATTATCCTGGAGTCTGAGCCTGTAAACAGCAGGTTTTTCAAAGTAGAGGCCACAGACAAAGACTCTGGTCTTAATGGGGAGATTATGTATGACATCACTGGTGGCAACACAGGTGATGTGTTTGGGATTTTCCCAGATGGGCAGTTATACATCAAAGTAGAGCTGGACAGAGAGATCCAGGACAGATACAACTTAGTGGTTGTAGCCAAAGACAGAGCTGTTGAACCACTGAGTGCCACTGTCAACGTCAGTGTGATCCTAGATGATGTAAACGATAACCGCCCGCTGTTTAACAGTACCAGTTATGTGTTTCATTTTGAGGAGGAGCAGAAGAGGGGGTCTCTTGTTGGACAGGTGTTTGCTGAGGATAAAGACTTTGGCCCCAACAGTGAGATCAGATATGCATTTGAGACTCCCCAGCAAAACTTTGAGCTGAACGCCATCACGGGGGAGTTGACCAGCACTCTGCAGCTGGATCGTGAGTCACTCATGAGACAAAGAGGCACTGCTGTTTTCAGCTTTGTGGTGGTTTCATCGGACCAGGGTCTCCCCAAGCCCCTCAGAGACCAGGCCAAAGTTCAGGTTTACATTCAAGACATCAACGACAACCCACCTAAATTCACCAAAGACATTTACCAGGCCTCTATCTCCGAGTCAGCTCAAAACATGACTCAGCTGCTGCGGGTCTCTGCCTCAGATGTGGATGAGAACAAAAACGGACTTGTTTATTATCGCATTGTTGAAGGCAACGAGGAAAGCCAGTTTACAATAGACGGCAGCTCTGGACAGGTGACTCTAGTTGGAAAACTTGACTATGAAACTACATCTTTGTACTCCCTAAAAATCATAGCTGTGGATGCTGGAGTTGTGCCTTTGTCTTCTTCTTGTATGTTGAGTATTAGCATCTTAGATGAAAATGACAACACCCCCTCCTTCCCTAAATCCTTGCTGACTGTGGACGTTCTGGAGAACATGAGGACTGGGGAACTGGTGGCTTCTGTGACTGCCACTGATGCAGATTCTGGTCAGAATGCAGACATAACATACAGCATCTCAGCCACCAACAATCATGGGACTTTCAGCATCAGCCCCAGCACTGGAAGCATCTTTTTGATCAAAAGGCTGGACTTTGAAACACAATCAATATACAGAATTAACATCACTGCAAAGGACAATGGCAGACCACCCCGATTTTCATTCATACCAGTGGTTATTCATGTTCGAGACTTTAATGATAATCCTCCGGTATTTGCTCCTGGAGATATTTTCAAATCAATTCCTGAAAATCTTCCCATCTCTGCCTCAGTCATGACTATCACAGCTCACGACACAGATGCGGACATAAACGGGCTGCTGGAGTACTCTATTGTTCAACAGATTCCTCGAGGAAAACACTTCAGAATTGACCCAAGCAGCGGGCTCATTTACACCAGCAAGGATATTGACAGAGAGTTCTCCAATCTGTTTGAGCTGACAATCAAAGCCATGGATCAAGCCGTTCCAGCTGAATTCCGCAGATATGCCCTGAAAAATGTTACAATATGGGTCACAGACCTGAATGATAACATCCCTGTTTTCGTGTCCCAGAGTGCACTTGTGGCTGAGTCGAACATAGTCATTGGCTCTATCTTGACTACTGTAATGGCCTTTGACCCTGATGATGGTGCAAATGGGGAAGTGGAGTATGAGCTGGTGGAAGGGGACTCAGACACCTTCATCATGGACAGGTACAGCGGGGATATTCGCCTGGCTTCCCAGCTCGTCCCATCTCGAATCATGTACACCCTCACAGTGTCAGCCACTGACCACGGTACCGACCGCAAGACCTCCAGAACTGAGCTCACCATCATCCTCGAAGGGATGGATGGGCCTGTGTTCTCTCAGCCTAAATACATCACTATTCTCAAGGAAGGCCAGCCGCCAGGCACGAACGTCATCTCTCTGGACGCCTCGAGCCCGAGAGGGTCTGCAACCAAAGTGGAGTATTTCATCGTGGCAGTACGCAGTGGTGGAAAAACCGTGGGACGCCTTTTCAACATTGGCCGCCACACTGGAGTGATACAGACAGCTGCTGAGCTGGACAGAGAACAAGGGTCCGACCTCTACCTGGTGGAGGTGTACGCCATCGAGGCAGATGCCAGTCAGCCCAGAACACAGCGTGCTGAGGTTAGTACTCTGCTGACCTTTTGTTTTTTCTGCAGATCCCTGAAAGGAATCTGATATTCTGCATTGTTGGTCTTTTTGATCTGTTCAGCAGAAAAATAGCACATAAACTCATAGCCTGCCATTTGTTTGGTATATGGATGAAATAAGTGAAACAGGGTTAAAGTTTAGGTTTGGAAAAAAAAAAGAATCAAGACTCCCCTACTCACAAATGAATCAGGAAACTTTTGCATTTCCATGCTTGTTAATTAAGTTTTTGTTCCAGTTGTGGCTCTGCTTTATAGTAAATTTTTCTGGAAAGTTGTTCTTCTGCATAATAACTTTATTTATCCTGTTTCTAAAAATATACCAAGCATAACAGTTCCTTTTGAAAGTGCTTCCTTTAATATTAGAGCAAATGAAATGTGTTGCATGTTTTTCTTTCTTTCTCACATAAACTTACCTTTTCTTATCAGTGGGTATAAAGTGAACTTTTTTATAGTTTCCTGCTTTAGGCATGCTCCATTCTCATGTGCTTTAGTTTAAAACTTTCTTCAGGTGGAAACGAACAAAAAAAAGTCATTCCTGAGGTCTTTGTGTGCAGGTATGCATCATCGAGCCAGTATTACTTTGAGCCTGAGGCTGTTTTGGCACCGTGGTGGTCCTGGTGTGCATTCATACCACCAGGAACTGCTCCACAGTCAGTAAATGACCATTAAAAGGAGTTGACCCCTTAAGACTTTATGAAAAGATGATGAAGGCAGGGAGAGTGAAACTTAAGCCCACCCACGTTTGAATAATGCAATGCATCTCTTTCAGAGTTAAATACTTCTGAGCTCTTTTTGAGCGTCTGATGACAAGTTGTTAGTAAAATAAAAACCAAATGTGATTTTAACCAGGACTTAAAATGACTTGTTATTGTAGACTTGATGAATGTGACTTTCTTTAAAACACAACAAAACATGTAAAAAGTATTTTTTCTTTAGAAAATGTGTTTTTTGTTACTTCACTGAAAACAGAAATCTGATATAAAGTGACGGAAAGGTGGAAAGGGCTACTTGGAAGCAGGCTTCGTTATACAATTTAGAAACAGGTACTGTCTTACAGATTGTGGATAGGTTCTGAAATAGCCATCATTGATGACATATAGCCTTTTTGATGGGTGTGGGCTACCGTAGCTGCAACATGGAGCCTTTTTCCTCCCTTCCCGGTCAGCTCGTGGTTCCCCGGAACAAAGGAAAAAATGAATGGAAGTAAACAGGGCTAAAAAAGTTATGCTCTAAACTGCTTTGCCTTATGCCCTGAATCACAAAGTTGTACTTCAAATTTAAATGGAAAGTAATGATGTGTGCTTCGACTATATCTGTCACGTACTTTAAGATTTATTAGCTTGTAAAGATTTGTAATTTAAAAGACTACAAATAATATTGTTGCAAATATGACAACACAGCAGAATCTCTTCTCCCCCAGCATAGCTGCTTCTTACCACATTTGTCCTGGAAGGATTCGAAGCTTGCTAAACCAATCTCCTCATCTCCGTGTCTGGATCACTGGCAGCAATTTGGTGAGACGAGCATTTGTAGTCGGCTACATCTTTTCACACTAAACCTAAAATAACTTTACCCCCTGTCAAAAAAAAGTGCTTTCTTGGCATCAAAGTGTGTCTTTAAAATTCAAAGACATCAAATGAAATCCATGGCACGTATCAAACAGTATCAGAAAATAACCTTTATACCGCCAAAGACTCACACTTTTTTGGTAGTAGGGGACCTATGGTCTGAAAGAAGATGGGCGTGACTTAGGCTCTCTATACCTGCTCTGGACTGTGTGGCACTAAAGAGTCAAATATTTTCACACACTGGCGCTTTAATAAGCTTCTTTGGAGTTTAGAGTTTCAAGATGTTTTAAGACGGCATCCATAGACTTTGGCTGTTTTGTCAGATGTAAACTAGCCTGGCAAGCCAGACTAAATAAATATATTATTTAATCTGGCAACGCTCCATTGACGGCTCTCAGTTGTGGGGCGGGTTCTACCATTGTCTTTCTTCGCATGCAACTGGACAACGAACAACGTGACGTACTCACCGCAACGCATGTCAGTAAATGAGGCAGTCTGATGTTGAAGAAGGTGAAAATACATCCTTGTTCTAAATAAAGGGCTTAAATACATCTATCTGCTCCTGATTCTAATAAAGCCCAAGTCCAAACAGTCCAAAATTTATGTAAAAGTCATTTCAAATGAGCTGTCGCCATCTTGTTCCACTCTGTCTTATCATCCCGCCCACCAAACAAATAGAAGTCCCTGATTGGCCTACAAAGTGGATAGAGTGCTATGATTGGTCAACCTTTGTGGACCAATCACAGCCTTCTATCAGTTTGAAACCCCCTACAGAGACCTGTGATTTGCTAGCCGCTGCTAGAGGGCTGCAGAGGTTCTAGTGGAGCGTTCCAAATAGCAGCTATTGAATATTTTTGTAATAGAGTACTCTATGGAATATTTTATCGATTAATCGAGTACTCTAATAAATTACCCTTTTGTGTTTGTAAACCATTATATCAAATAGCATGTTATAAAATATGAAAGACCTCTTAAAATGAGCAAGCAATTGCCAGTTATTCAAGTTTTATTCAAAATTAGTTTTCAAAACTTCAGCACTTCAACTTTACTTCACAGTAAACAAATGCCTGTGCAAAAAATAAGTAAACAACCTGAGCCGGTTTTCCCCTCATGCGAGAATCTACTAGCCTGGCAAGCCAGAGAAAAACTAGGAGGATAGCTGTTTAAGTAGCGCTGTGAGCGGCTGTGGCCTAAACAGCACCAGAACCGCTCACGGCACATGCGCAAAGATGGCTCGCAAGCTATTTCCCTATTTACACACGTCCATTTTAATTTCTACACTTTTTTTCACACACAATAACAAGGATTGTCGAGAAAGCATGTTTGCCGTGGTTATGTCAAATTATACTGATCACAAAACATTTATTTACGTTCTTTTGTTTTCCTCCGCCACTCATAAATACCTGTGTCCTCCTGCAGCAATCCCGAGGGACAACAGACATCAATAACAACACAATAAAAAGTCTGACGTGTTGTGTAAAAACTGCTATTTTTAGCACATTTTTAGGTCCAACCTGTTGCTGCCAGATGCACAGTGAGCTGAAACTGAGTGCTACAAACGAAAAAGTTGCAAAGTGTCCGCAGAATATATAGCGGACCTCCGAGTCTGCTTGCTGCAGCACCGAGGATGTGGTGTTGTGGTAGGCTTAAATCCATTTTACGGTATTTACAGTGGAGTACGTTTTCCACCTTACGAAGTGAAAAATGGTCCCACACCTTTGACATTTTATGTCGTTTCGCACCCCACCGTGGTCCACGTTGTCCGCCATGGCTTAAGAGAAAGTTAAGTTACATTCGCTACTCGCGCGTGCATTCAGCGCAGTGTGTATGTGCGCCGCTTATTTCGGTCCGGGTGAAACATGACCCCGGGCGATTGCAAAGCCATGAATTAATTAAACATGAATTAAACGAAGCCTCGAGGCAGATAATTTGACTCGAGGCTTTTTTGTACTCGGATTATTCAAGGTACTCGAGGAATCGTTTCAGCCATAGTTCCAAACTTTGCAAATCAAGAATTTGGTCTAGTTCACTAGGTTAGGATGTAAACGATATCTCTCATAAAGCTAGCTACAATTACTAAAACAAATGAGTTAGTTTTACAACGAAAACTGTAAAATTGTCATAATGTCCTTTCAATATGAGCAAAACATTGATAATAATTCCTTTTTCAAGTGCTGCAGATATTGAAATGGAAATCCAACACAACAATTATGTATTCAGAGACAAACTGACATATTATTGAAATCAAAGCTTGGAAAAAGCTTGCTGGCAATGTTAGCCGAAAGGTTTAACCCTCTCAGGCTCAAAATAAGTTTTGATAGAAGAACGAACAACTAAGTTCTTCAGGGTTATTGTGAGTTAAAAAATGCTCATAAAATATGTACGTGGAGTAACCAGGTAGGTAGGTTTTAACTGTTCCAAATCTGCAATGCCTGCCTCCAGAGGGTTAACCAATCCAAGTGGGAATATCGAATGTTCTCTCACTTTGCCTCCAGTAAAGATGGCAATCTGCTTTTTTTGTCAGATGCTGCTTCTGAGCTACAGTGCTTCACTTTTCCAGTTCCAATTTTCAGACTTGAGCTTGGATACAATGCAAGCTTGAACTTTGTCACCCCATGCAGATGACTTTAACATTTCACCTGGATGAAGAATGAATCTCCATATTTTAGAGATGCATAAGATCTAATTACTAATAGAAATCCAAAAGAATGTTCGTGGAAGTGGACCAGGCTGGTCCTATTTGTAGGGTCCTCTCGTTGTCTGTCAGACCTGGAAGCACAGTGTGGTACCATAGTGTAAACCCACAGACTTAGACTAATGTTTTTCCAGTGGAGTGTTTATACACCAGATACCCAGTAGCAACTAGGGGATTATTTCCATCCCTGGGGTTGTGACCCTTTCACATTCTCAGTTTCCCATTTTCCTCATTGATTGGATGCATAAGGGAAAGCTGACATTTTTGCCTCAGCTATGCAGGATGTGTGATGTTTTGTGAACAAGAGAAAGAACTCTGCAGGATGTGTTTTATCTATAGTTCACGATCTTAAACAGCTCAGAAGCTATTGTAGGTTGAATGTGTCCATGTTTATTTTCTCTGGATCACATCTGGGTCATATGTTAGTGACTTATATGACTGTTGCCATTTAACAGCTTCAAAGTGGCCTTTTTAAATATTGCTTTGGGATGCCCTCATGACTCAGACATATTTCTGTTTGCATTGCTTTCTTCTTAGTCTGAGTACAAGAAATGATGGAAGCATAGCAATTTAAAACTCTTGGCAGCCATTTTATCCATTGTTAGTAAAGCATTTGTGAAGCTAAAGAGGATGTTTGTTTCTTTATCACTGATAAAAATATTTGATTCATTACATCCTGTATTACTTTTGTGTGGAGGTGAAAAGGAGCCA